AGGGAGGGAGGGAGGGAGGGAGGGAGGGAGTGTGTGTGTGTGTGTATAACAATAAGTAATGAAAAAAAGGAGGCCATGAATCTGAGAAACAGCAAGGAGGGGTGTATTCAAGAGTTTGGAGGGAGGAAAAGGAAGTAGGAAGTAATGTAATTATATTGTAATTCAAAAAAACAAATGATTGGAAAAAAAGGAAATGACATGGCAGGGTCAGATCCACAGGAACTAAAGCTAACAGGAGTAGTGTATGTCGTTTTTTGATGCACGAAGCTTATGATATATACTTATTTTGCCAAAATTCTATTTCCAAACTTCTTTGAAGAAAATAAAGTCATTTAAAAGTCATTTTAAAGTATTCATTAGGTTGTTCAAACATGATTTTAAAAACAATGACATTTATTAAACATCACTCATGAGCAAGACAATTACAAACTCATCAGGCTAACTTGATAGCTCTAAAATGTTTTGATATTCTTTTTCATCCTTAAGTCAGACATACTCCCTATGTCAGGTATGTTCTCACTGCAAATATCTCCTTATTCCCAAACTGACACTTGTTTAGGTAGTGTCAAAATCAAGAAGATACAACAACAGTAACAGTTTTATATTACACTTTATATTGTTAAAATAATGCTATATGACTGTCACATCAGAAACAATGCAATACAGCAATGCATGATATGAGGTTTGTTACAAAGCTGCACAGACTTCTGAGCAAAGTTGAGGTGAACAGGCAAAAACTGTGAGTCCAGTACAGCAATTTCACTTCTGATCTAAAGTTAGGGGCTAATGCAAATAGCAAAATCTGATTTTTAGGTGTTAGCATGCCTTATGTGACTAATAAACTTTTTAAAATCTGAAAGAGAATAGGAAATGTAGCTTATAGTTTGTTATTTAGGAAACAGGCAGGAGAATTATCAATTCTAGATCAGCCTGGGTACTGGATAACAGTTCTATTCCTGAGTACTTGGAAACATTCTATCCTGCAGAGAAGCTCCTTAAGCAAGAAGGTGAACAACTCAAAATAGCTTCAGGAAGTCCCTGAAACGGACCAGATTCACTAGGCTCCTCCCTGTCAGCATAGACAATGAAAGAGTAGAGTCCCCCTCAGATGGAAAGAAGCTGAGCTGCAAAGGCCCTCAGACCAGACTGGCTGCCTGGTAGAAGCAGAAACCCGCTGAGCTGCCTGGAAGACGTTTAGACCAACTGACCCACCTGGAAAGGACACTTTACATCCTCCTGAGCTGCCTGCAGGCTGTGCAATGTACACCAAGTTCCCTGCTGTGTGAGCAGTCACTCATGCTGAGGTGGGCCTTTGTGAAGCTGATGTCTTTGAGTCATTACTGCTTCAGTAAGTAAGCCCTCTCATATTCCTGTAAGTAACCCCAATAAAACTCATTGTTTCACGAAGTTGGACTTTGGTGGTGTCCATACTTTGGTCTGTCATGAGCTATCTGGGTTGAGAGGATGTGTGTGCATCTTCCCAAAAAGAGTTTTGTCACACAACATTGGGTAACTGAATCTTTGTCTCAACCATGTGAGAAAACCAGATGAGACGAGACGAGACCAGGTGAAGCAGAACCAGAGTCAAGAGTCAGCAAGATGGCAGAAAGGTAATGGCACTTGCCTCACAGGACTGATACCTGGAACCCATGTTAAGATAGGAAAGAACCAAACCCACCAAGTGGTCTTCTGATTTCCACACAAATGCTATGGCATGTGACACCTGATGTAGGTGGGTCTTCTATCTATCTGTTGTTTCATTGGTTAATTAATAAAGAAAACTGCTTGGCCTGATAGGTCAGAACATAGGTAGGCAGGAAAGACAGAACAGAATGCTGGGAAGAAAGGAAGTGAGGCAGATTCTATAGCTCTCCTCTCCAAGATGGGCGCAGGTTAAGATCCTTCCCTGTAAATCACCACCTCGTGGTGCTACACACATGAATAGAAATGGGTTAATCAAGATATGAGAGTTAGCCAATTAGAGGCTAGAACTAATGGGCCAGGCAGTGTTTAAAAGAATACAATTTGTGTGTTGTTATTTCAGGTATAAAGCTAGCCGTACAGGAGCTGGGCAGGAACACAGCCCGCCGCTCCTCACTACAGACACCTCCCCCAAATAAATTGAAAGAATAATAAAATACTAAAATAATAAAAACTGCCACCTGTATCATCACCCTCTTAATGGACATCATTCCACTTACCAAGATCAACTTTTTTTTAAATCGAGACAGGGTCCCAAATTTATGTAGCCCTGGCTGGTCTGAAACTTGTTATGTAAACCAGGCTGGAATGGAACTTAGAGTACCATCCACCTGCTTCTACCTCCTGAGTGCTGGGACTAAAGGCTGTGCCAACACAATTAGCCCCACCTTTCCTTTTATCTAATTCTTACTGTATCTTATTGTAATATAATATATAACTGACATTTCCCCAGTTACATTGTAAAATCATGAAAAAATAGGAATTTTTATCTATCTTGTATCCTGATCTAATGCTAGAAACATAGCTAGCTACCCACCAAATACTATTTGCTGGCTCCAATCACCAGAATAAGCTATCAGTGCATAGACAAGAGACGCTTCTCATTCCACCCTGAGCAATAATATACACAAAGTAGGCAGGAGAAGCAGGGAACAGCCTTGGATTGTCCTACATTGTGCTGGCCAAACATTATCCTTTAAAATTCTCTCCTCCTCATGACTTTTATAATATAAAAAATAAAAGGGTACACCTTTAATCCTAGCACTTGTGAGGCAGGGGCAGGGGGATCTCTGTGAGTTTCATGACAGTCAGGACTATACAAATAAACCCTATCTTGAAGAAAACAAAAAAAAAAATCTCTCATTCTCTTCCTGCCTCCATCCATGTACGGTGAGAAGTGTCCTAATTATGTAAAACACAAATTAGTCATATAAAGACTGAAAACTGAGAACCATTTTGAGAGAGATGGAAAATACTTAAGAGAGACAGAATCTCGAGAAGTTCACTTTGGTTTCTGTACTGTCAATGAAATGGCAGAAGCCAGAACCAAATAGCTTTGCAGCGTTTGTAATCTACTGACCAAGTGACTTCATTGTTTTCTGCATTTATCACTCTTATTTTCAAACGTTCATTTCTAAACTCTGGTATATTAAATTTTAGAAAGTCTCTTTCAGTGAACTCCCTGTGAAAATTAAAAAATATAACCCATGGTTCTGGATGACTATAAAAGGAAGAGTCTGGAATGCTATGCAAGCTAACAGAAGCAGTGAGACCAACAACAACAAAACATTTGTAAAATCTCAATAATTAATTTCTTATCTCCAACAGGGGAGCAGGTTCTTGATCAAAATAAAGACGATCATTTGGATCTGTCCTGGCAGCTACCATGCATCCATGCATAGCTACATCCACGCACAGAAACACAGGAAATAGAAAAAGCCTTTGGAACTGAGGGTGAAAAACTAAATTTAATCTCATCCAGATCAGCAGCAGATATTCCGGACACTTCCAGACCACAGAAATCTTCTGGAAGAGACACTAGAAGGGCCCCAAGGCAAGTGTCTCAATCTTTTTTTTTTCCCTTTTATTTTTGATATTATAAACGTCTTGCATGGCCCAGGTGGCTTAGAATTTGCTATAAAGTAGAGAAGTCCTTGAATCCTCTTGTTTCTACCTATTAAATTCCGGAATTACAGATACCCATCACTAAACTCACCTAAAAGCAGGTTTTGTTAGTGATAAATGAACACAACTGGCACGCATGATATCTCAAATCTTTAATCCCAGAACTTGGGAAGTGTGAATTCAAGGCCAACCCTGGTCTTTCATAAAAGTCTCAGAACAGTACCAAGGCTAGTGAGACCTTGCCTAAAACAAAAACAAATACAACCTACAATGAAACAAACCACCATTAATTTGGACATGATTTTAAAATGAAAAAACTCAGGGCTAGAGAGATGGCTTAGAGGTTAAGAGCACTGGCTGCTCTTCCAGAGGTCCTGAGCTCAATTCCCAGCAACCACATGGTGGCTCATAACCAGGAATGTTGTATAATAAATAAATAAATCTTTAAAAAAAGAAAGAAAGAAAAAACTCTGGCCCAAAGTAGTAAACAGATAAACGAGCACACACACAGAAACACAAACCACCCTGAAGAATCAGGTTACATTCTCAATAATCAAGATTTAGTTTAGGCTTTAGTAAACCATAATAGAATTAGGTAAAGTATAAAAAGAAAGCAGGTGCAGAGGGCACGAATGGCCCAGCGCTTGGTAGGATGAGGAGGACTGCTGCAAGTTCCAGCCACTAGACCCTAGATCCAAAATCAAACCAGTGGCTAACAGTGAGGTCCAGAGTTTGACTCTGCAGAACTCACATAAAGCTGGACAGAGGCACGTGTCTCCAATCTAAGCTGTCCCTCAGCAAGAGGGAAGCTGAAAAGGGAAGCTGAGATGTAGGAGCATACAGAGTGGTGAACAAGAAATCTCAATTCAAATAAAGTGGATGATGAGGACCAACACCCCAGTTTTCCTATGACCTTTACACACTTAAAGTGACATGCACAAGCCTGACATGCGTGCACACACACCCATCACATTTAAAAATAAAGACAAAAGTGATGACAATGTAAAAACAACTATAAAAGTGAAACAAATTTGGAATGTCTGTGATTCTTCCAACTAGAGACACATGAACTGCTAACTACTCAGAGAAAGCACATGTTTCCTTGTTAAAATAAGCCTCATGTCCAGCCTATGCAGAGAAAGAGGAAGGACAGAGACACAACAGGGACCTGGAGACTAGGCAGGAGCACCTCTTCTGAGGGTTGAGCTGCAGGTGTTCTGGAGCAGTCCAATAATCCGACACATAAACCAGCAGGACCATCTGTACTCTGCGTCTCAACATTATACCCTCAAGTCACCCCAGGGGCTCGAGGTCCAGAGTCACACAGGTGAATCCAGCAGGACAATCAGGGTGGCATGCATTCCCACGGTGACAGACATCAACAAGGACCTCACCTTGTCACTGTCATCATGACAAATGTGGTCGTGATGGACGGACCGGCACTGAAAAGAAGCACCAACACTACCTACGGAGAAAAGGAAGGGAGAGTTAAGCAGCAGTAATTCCTTACATTAAACTGCTTTACCAATAGACTTATGTCCAGTATCCCATTTAGTCCTTAAACAAGTTCTTAAGCAGTAGGACAAGATTACTTATGGATTTTCAAAAGCTACATGTGCAAGCCCATGAGTGCAAGGAGGCCAGACAACAACCTGTAGGACCAGGTTCTCCTCCCACATGTGGGTCCCAGGGACCAAGCTTAGGCAGTCATCTTACCCACTCAGCAATCTGTGGGCCCTATTTGTGGCTTCTTCACAGAAGGAAGAACCAGACACCGATCCACAAAAAGCAGCAGCGAGAAGACGTGGAACTGAAGCCTGGCTGGCAACCCTGCCCCATCACTCTGAGCACGGCAAGGTCTACTTCCCAAGTGAGACCCCTAAGTAAACACATCAGTAAGGCAAACCCTACTGACGAAGACTATAATTACATTCCTGTTTGGTTTACACATACCTTGAGGCTGACCCTAAAAATGTAACATATACAATACAATTTACCCAGGCTTAATGGCACATGAACTTTGGGAACTAAAGTAGAAAGATCAAGAGTTCAAAGACAAAGGACAAAGGGACAAAGGAGTCTTTGAGACAGGAGAATTTCTTTTTTAAGTCTATGTCAAATAAGATTTCAAATATTGCTAGGCATGATGGCGCACAACCTCAAACACAGCAATTGGGAGGCAGAGGCAGGTGGATCACTATGAGTTTGAGGCCAGTCTAGTCTACATAAAGAGTTCCTGGCTAGCCAAGGCTATATAGTTAGACTCGGTCTTTAAAAAAAGGAAGGAAGGAAGGAAGAAAAAGAAGTCTTAGAAAAAAGTAGAGGATTTTGTTTTGTTTTGAATACATAATTTCAACGAAGAAAAAATGCAGAAACAGGAAGGTCACCACAATCACACCAAACCAATCTAGTCTATACATGGAATTCTAGGCCAGCCGGAAAAAAAAATCTATGTGTGTACATGTGTTAGGTGTGTGTGTGGCGTTTGTGTGTGGAGGGGGGGTTAATGTGCTTTTATTGCTAGGGAGTGTACACAGGCCTCATGCACTCTAGGCAAGTGCTTTCACTGAGCTGTATCTCAAGCACACAGCTTGGCCCAATCTTTCTGAAAAGCTGGTGTTAAACATAAAGTCATGAATGGAGAGTAAGCATACTATTATGGACTGTCCACAGGCACAGGAGTGAGCAGCGAGGTGCAGCTGGTGGGGGGGGTGGATTAACAATGAGTCATGTGGTAAAACCCCTAATGACACAAAAGGAGCAGGACAAAAAAAAATGTGTGCTTTAGTAAAGAATCTTTATTTTTATTTTTTTAATATTTATTTATTTATTTATTATGTATACAATATTCTGTCTGTGTGTATGACCGCAGGCCAGAAGAGGGCACCAGACCCTGTCACAGATGGTTGTGAGCCACCATGTGGTTGCTGGGAATTGAACTCAGGACCTTTGGAAGAGCAGGCAATGCTCTTAACCTCTGAGCCATCTCTCCAGCCCCCAGTAAAGGATCTTTAAATGACAGCTGCGAGACAACCCTAGGCAGAGATGAAAGCAATGGAAGAGAGGTCCCCCCACCACCCGTGTGAGGAAACACCAACACCATTCCATGTTCACAATGAAAAGTGAAGCCAAGCAATTCTGTCTTTATCATTTATATACAAAACACAATAGTCACTTAGTTCCAGAGACATATTAAGGCTCAACAATTAGTTATCATTATAAGCAGGTAATCTGCTACAAAATTATTTCAAGCCAGGGCTAGAAATATGCCTTGGCAGTTAAAGAGCACCGACTGCTTTTCCAGAGGACCTAGGTTCAATCCCTAGCAGATTATTCAACCTAAACTTTAAAAGCCAGGAGGGCCTGGCAGATGTATTTCAAGTTCTGACTCAACTGCCAACCCTGACTATTATTTTCAGCAAAACCGTCTGTTATAACTGAAATGAAAAATAAAAACTGCCCATGATAAAAATAGGTCAAAGGAATGCATGACCACTAACCCAGCTCCACAGAAAACACTTTCACATGGGTCCGAGGTTCAATCTCAGCTTGTCGGGCTTGTGTGGCAAGCACCTGGCCCACTGAGGCACTGTCCCAGATCTAACACTACTATGAGACACCAATCCTTACCTTAGTTCTTAGCTGGGCGCACTGAGGGAGGAGTTTCTTCACTGAAATATTGCAAGCCTACGTGCAACTCAGCAGTGCTAGATGTCAGCTCACCAATCTACCTCTACTAGTTTATGCTGACTACAGTGGGGGCCACAGGACACCAAAGGCAGAGTGAGGATGGACAAATCCTAAGACCTCCAGTGCCAGTCTATTGCCCCAGACCACACCCTGGCACTGTCGTGTCCTAGTCACCATGAGAAATTATATCAGGCGCTATACAGACATCAGCAAAACCTTTCTTACAGTGACTTCTCAGGAGAAGTGTATGCTGGTTGACTGAATATTCATTCCAGTCATCAGAGATTGATTGATACTGGACTCAGAAAATGACAATTATCACAAGGAAAATTAAAACAAGAGGGAAAGTTAACTGAGCAAGCACTAGCACTATCCCCGGACACAGAGTAAGCTATCCTCTTTACTAAATCTTTTCCATAAAGTAGTGTCTCGGTACAAATAGTTAGCCCCACAACTGACCAGCAGTGCTCAAATCAACCCTCTATAACTCAGTGTACATTTTTAAAATGAAAGGTACACTGGGCATGATGGGAGACACCTGTGATCCCAGCACTTGAAGAGGCAAGAGGATCCAAAGTTCCAAGGCCAGCTTGGGCTATGCAGCGAGACCCAGTTGTAAAAAGTGAGGGTAGAGGGCGAAGAGAGACTGACCTGAACATGTAAGGTGTTCGACACATGGCCCAGCACATCTACAACACCATGCATGTTTGTATTATTTCCCACATTCCCCTGAAAGTTCCTATTTCCTCATCTGAAACCAGCATTTGAACTGCTTCAAGCTGAAACAGACCTGTCACAACACCCAGAATGCATCATGGAGCTGAAGGTCATCCTTGACCACATAGCAAATTTGACGCCAGCCTGAACTACTTGAAAAACCATTCAATATCTGAATTTACTCTATAAATACTTGTAATTGGTTAATGATGGGGTTTTTGGCAGAATTATTTTTTTCTACAGCACCACTAGTCATGAGCAGAAACTGGTACAGATTAGGAATGCCTTATAAGACAAGGGTATTTCACTTAATACAGGGTAAAGTAAGTCAATAGAAAGTTATTAATGTGTTAAAGGCTCCCACAAATCTGACTTTTTGTATCATAAATTTTTTTTTTTTGGTTTTTCAAGACAGGGTTTCTCTGTGGTTTTGGAGCCTGTCCTGGAACTAGTTCTTGTAGACCAGGCTGGTCTTGAACTCACAGAGATCCGCCTGCCTCTGCCTCCCGAGTGCTGGGATTAAAGGCGTGCGCCACCACCGCCCGGCTAATGAAGAAAAATGATCAATTTATAAAATCTGTGTATTAATTTTCAAATAGAAATAAAAATGCAGCACTGAAAATTGTATGTGTGCACATGCGCACAAACACACACGCACGCTGGGCTGTACACATAGAGGTCAGATAATAACCTGGAGTCAGGTCTCTCTTTTCATCCTATGGGTCCTGGGGTTAAAGCCAGGTCTTCAGGCTTATTGGCAGCTGCCCTGCCCTGCTGAGACCTCTACCAGACCTTGAGAATTATTTTTAAGCATTTGATTAGGTAGATATATGATTTATGATACAGTACATCTTTGTACATGGGGCTACATCCTAGGAAAATCATGGTTGTCATAACAAGATGTTCCTTGCATCCAGTGAATAGGACTCAGGCACACTACTTAACACCCAAGAGGGCAGGTAGTATAAATGCATATTAAATGTTAATGGAAGAAGTCTTCGATGAACCTAGCACTAATATGCCAAGAACTTGTATATTTAGTATGCACAGGCATACATGTAAGCAAAACAACCATACACATAATTTAATGAAATACCATATGTTTTCAAGTAATGTGGAAAAGGAGGACAAGGCAAACAGAGGAATGGCTCTGCTGCTGCTAAGAATACCCATGTTCAAAAATTTAGAGTGTGTCCTACTCTCTGAATTGGCGGATGAGGAGTTCCCCAGACTTCTCACTGTGTCAGAGGGACTCTTATATGGTCATGCTATGAAGGTTCTGCTGCTTGAGATCCTGTGAAAGTCACTGACTTAAGCCTGGTCTGCTCTCCTCCCTAGACAGTACATAGCATTGGACACGGCATTTCTTTCCACCAAAGCCACACTACTCAATCCTATTTATTTATATGCTATCAAACATTGTTACGTCCCTGTTTTTAAACGGTGACACCATAAAACATCAACTTTACCACTTTAGCCACTGAGAATGCATAATACAGGGGTATTAATTATATCCATAATGTGTGTGAGCAGCTGCGCTGCTATTTTCAAGGCATTTTCATTATCTCAAACAGAAAACCTATACCATTCAATAACTTCGCTTCACCAATGTCCTTTTTAAAAGACTATAGACTTAGTAACTTTCAAGTTATGATATGCTGCCACCAGGCGGCGAGAGAGTGCCAAGGCTGCCCATGACAGGAACAGGGCAGGCAGTTTCACCTTCCCTAAAAATTAGAATAGAAACAGCATCTGCATAATGAACCTTTCACTGGCCCTCAAAAACCCACTGTGGTGTGGAGCATGAGCTGGCAGTAGAGTGACCGCTTAGTAGTGGTTTAGTCCTAACTGCCACCATAGAAAATAAAGAGCATGCTTAAAGACTGATCACTAGACTCATACAAACTAAAAAATGAAGTTAGGGAAAATGTGTAAAGAAAAAAAAAAGAATCTAAATTAATGACTATGTCACTGACTTAGTAATCATCATTTTACCTAAGATTCAAAATTAATGAGTTTCAGTCTGGTACCAAATGATCCCCAATGTTGGGTGTGTGT